TCAGACTTTCCCATCCATGCTGGCATAAATTCTTTATCACAGTCTGCCGTTGCCTTCTCTTGCAACACTGAGAACCAAACAAACCTGCTTTCCTTAAGGGTAATGCGAAAAATGGACTTTTCGTCTGGATTTACAGTCAGAATATGCCTCCCAGACATTTATCTTAAAGGCGTATTGTAGTCTGTAATTGTTATTCAGAGCTACAGTAGCGGCCTTGAAATAAAGCTGTATTTCCATTTCTCACCAGGCTACTTGTTCTTTACTTGGTCGTACTTGCTGATTTATAGCACAACTTTAACGTTAAACATGAATTTTTGATTAATAGGACAAAGGATGAATTAGTACAATGCAATATCTGTAGAAAACATTTTATTTTGCTTCTCATTTGAATCCTTCATCGGTGTATCTTACTGTTCATCATTTCCATCTTCTGATTCCTCTTTTCTTGCTCCAGTCTCGTTTCTTCTCCCAGAATACCACCACATTCACAGGTGCCTGTTTCTTGACATTTCAAACATGTTACATTTTTCGTTTATTGTTCTTCTCGGCTACTCATGGCTCTTAAGTATTATGTATCGCTTAAGTTTTTAATTCACTAACTTGAAACTGCAAACCTGAAAATTGTTGTTTGACTGACGGCATTATCGTTGAAATGTTACTGTCTGAAAAATAATCGATGAGCAATACTTTTCCGTAAAAATAAATGAATGAATTAAATATCAATAAAATTACAGTAAAAGTCAAGCAAACAAAGCCATATATAACTATATCTTTCATAATATGTATAAGGAATAGTATATATTGAAATATGACAGAATATGCTTAATTTAGGTATATTTGTCGATATTCATTCTACCCTTCACACCGCTTCGTCAGCGATTCCTTCTGCCAAGTAGGAGTTCTTTTTACTCTTTTACGCTGAATAAAATTTTGTTTTTAAGAAAAGCGTCGTTTCTATGTTTACTGTGCGTTTTTGTTGTTGCTTGACATCCTACTTGTCACCGGCTCAGGTCTTTTACTCGCTGACGCTTTGGACGGCATGTGGTAAGTTTGTGTCACTAAGGATCTCACTGACTTCTACTACTGTTGTCTTTACAGTGTGATCGACGCCGCCTCCTATACATATTTTGCGTTTTACGCACCTCTGATGTACGCCGCATTTTTACGAGGATATGTATCGTAAGCGTAGTTTGACTCTTTTTATCTTTCAGTTTCTTTATAAGTTGGTTATAACATGGTGGCATTACAAATGAACTTTTTAGCATCAACCAATCGGCGCTGTACTTTTCGTATGTTGTACAAAAAAATTTTCCGGGACAAATTTCCAGCGTATCGAATTTGAACGAATTTTATGGCACCGCCGAATCGCTCGATCAAAACGCACCGAGCACCGCTGACCTGTGGTCAACCGTCGATTGCAGTGACCTGCATTCAAGCGGTGTAAGTGATACTGCTCATGGACCGACGCGTTTGCCAGCCACTGGACAACTGTCGATTCCCCCTGCCGTCCGGGTGTAACAAAGTTACACATCAGTCAGCAGGGCATCACAAATGTATAAAGGTTTTATTGCAGACCTGCCTTTTGATGGCTGATGCATTTTGAAAATCTCTTTTTTGCGCTTTTCGTAAATTGTGCTGTGTAGTGGCATTCTGATTGTATTTTGATAAAGGACATTTCAGAAATACGCTGGTATTCTTGCTGCTTCATCTCTAAAATCGCTTCTATTCTTAGTTGTCATCAGTCACGTGACATCGAGCTTTCCAAACGATGTTAAGGGATGGAAAAAAGAAAGTTTAAAGTCGTCGGATTGTTAATGTTCGTTATATTTTTATGATTGGGCCATGATCTCTATCTTTATGCTAACAGCCAAGATTATCTGTGTTTAAAAGTAAGGTCGACAGCAGCATGTGGCAAGCGTAAGTTGTAGTTTCCTGTTTCCTTTCCACACAGTGGTACTCATTTATTAACCATGGAATGAAAAAGAGCGAGTGTCCCGACTGGATCTCGAATCCGGGATCTCTAGATTCTGGGTCCGATACTGCTCACTGAGCAAATCGTTTCTAATCTAATCATGTACTTCTGCGTAATCTTTCTATTTTCCAACCTTATCAGCATTTAACACATTTTACTGCAGGACTGCATTTCAGATAATGAGTTTCGCGTTACGTTACGACCATCAATTTAAACATAGTCAAAATTAAGGACCCTTGGACATTAAAATCACGCCCTTTTAAGCTCGTATGAACTCTTTGCTCTACTGTATAGTACATGGTCATTTTGTTTTAGCGAGCAACTTTATGACCCAGAATTTCACCTTGCATCATCATTTCGGAAAGCCTTTATAGTGGAAGCGATATTCATAGACCGTCTGTTCATCATTTCCACTATCTTCTGATTATGCGTCTGGTCGAGAGTACAACCTTTTGGTACATTTTGCTCTTGGCAGTTTCTTCATAACGGGCAAAACGTTTGTTTCTATTCTTAGACATTTTTTAAGAGCATGCATCAATGCATCATCAGTAGTCATTGCACCCATTTGTTGTTTTCGAGGTTTTTCCAGATAAAAGTAATAAAAGTATTTTACAAGTCGACATCCTCATCATTTCAGTTAACGGATTGTGCCTCATCTGTAATGACACTTTTATGTTCATTGTTTGTCGAAGATGATTGATAATAGATGCACAACCAACAGATAATTAAATCTGATACGCTGGCATTCAAATAGCTGAAATTGGAAATATCGATAACATTTTATTTATTAAAAATCTTACCAAATTTTCGAGCAATTAATAACAATAACAATCTGGCACCAGATCTAAAAGTACAACTAAACCGTTCCTAGACAAAAATATTAGTTTTATCGACAGGATCTTTGCTAATAGGCGCAGCAATGAATTAGCAAGAGAAAGTTCCTCTTTTTTGCCACCGCTACACGGGAACATAAAATGGGCTACCCGGCACGCTGCCTTGGCCATATAGCACGTATACAAAACAGTTTTCCCGGTCTTTGATGGTGTAATCAATCGTGTACTGTCCTTTACCGGCGTATCTGATGTGCACGTCTTCCGCAGGTCCGTTGATCGTCATTACGCACACAAAGAGTAGATCAGTTCCTGAAAAGCAGCATCTCTTTGTGACATAGTTGATTACCCTGTGCCGTACTATTTTTGATTAGTTCGACAACTTCCATGTA